TCTTCTGTAATGAACTGAAATATGTATTTCATATGGGATTCAAGTCGATCATTGGCATTTCAAATCACAACGGTGTTTGGTAGTTATAGCTAAGACTTATTTAAGAGTTAAAAGATGTACGATATAAAGCTCTAATGAAATGAACAGTGGATTCTATGAATACTGAAATATTTTGTTATATGGTTATCAAAGTTGTGAAGACGAAACCGACTATAGAACAGAGTCAGATTCATATGGAGTCCACTGAGCATTCTCACTAACCTAGTTGTAACTATATTGTGGTGTTTGTGTGATTGTTCTATAAGCTATAAGACTGCATACTAACTTTTGATTCTAACAATAATCTGTTTGCCTACAGCCTCTAACTGCACTACGCTCTGCACGGCTTTCAGTTGCTTTAGTGCACCCCAGAACGAAATTTGCACCCAATTGGTTTCAAGTAACCTATGCTCACTTTAAATTCCCCCTCTCTTTCTCTCTTCTCTCGCTCTCTCTCACTCACTTATTACTCTCGACTAATCCACCCTTTCCCCGTTTCCAATGGTAAACGCAGGCGGACGATGCCAGCGGCATACACTTCTCTGCAGGCAATGGCAAATCGCGCCTGGGACTCGGCTCCTCGCCCAGCCTGGTTAGTGTCTCGGGTACTCTGTCGCGGGTGAACACTGTGGCCTCGGCACTGAAGCGCCTGCTCAGTCGCGACGAAAGCCGTCCGAGCTCCGCTACGCCCAGTGACGATCCGGGCAAGTACCGTTTCCCGAACAGCGCCAGCACTGCCAGCTTGACAGGGGCCAACGTTGGCTCATCGGCCGTGAAGCCGGCGGGCAGCATGCGCATCACCCAGCAGGTCATCGAGGAGGTGGACGAGCAAGCGACCATCACTTCCACACGCCCCCACGATACACGCCCCAATGTCAAGGACATATTCTCGCCAACCACCGGCGACCCACAGCAGCAGCCAGGCGGCCAGCCTCTGCAACCGCCACCGCCTGCAAGCAGACCCGGTGAGCTGCCGGCGCGCTCCCAGCCAGTGGACATACCCAGGCGATCGCCTCAATACGAGCGCGCTTACTCGCAGTATGAGCCGACGGCATCGCTCTTCCCGCCCGGAGGCGTGGACGCACTGCTGAGCACCTCGGCGCCGGCCGGAGACGGTCCCTCGCTCTTGGCAGGAGACACGGCACCCAGCTCGCCCCAGGGCGACAGCAGCAAATCCTTGTTTGAGCCCAACAGGGCTGCCAGCCGCGAGACAGGTAAGTGGTCGGCCCTGGTGCCATGGAATGATGCCCTCAAAGCCTTCATTCTCCTGCTTTTGATATTCATATTTAACGTTGATCTTCATCTATTCACATCCATACACACACACACACACATCTTTTGACTGTTAATACTTAAAGCGAGTGAGAGACCCGATGCACCGCAGTACTTCCGGTGGTTCGTGACGCCCGGTAAAGTTCAAGCATTGGCCAAACCAAGTTTACTTCGTTCCTTAGCTTATTCTTCCGCATATTTGTTGCCAGTCCAAAAATTTTTCTTGTTGGACATTTGGTATTATTTTCAACTCTCTTAATCAAAGTTTATTATTATCAATATTATTTGAGTTGTTTTCTTTTTTTTTTTTGTAATTCTGTAGACTTGTTAACTAGAATTACTAACCATAATTTGCATCCGTAGTTTGTATTGTGTTGCATAAGACTCGATTTTGATTCTCCGATTTTAGGTTGTCGATAAGGTAAAACTTTCCTTACCGTAAAATTTATATTTCGATTTTGCCTAGCCGTATTCCCTCTAGCCGTTGCACGTCTTACTTAACCCTCATTAATCCGCGGTCAAATTTAGCCGACTTGAAGCTAATACAAATCTCTGTCCTTGCAGTCGAAAATCTCGACGTCAAAGCATCGGCCGATGTTTTGGCCAATACAGCTGCCGAGCCCCCGCCAGACGCTGGCGATGACTTCGAAAAACTACGAGCTGCTCGCGAAAAGGAGAAGCTGGTGCGCCAGCAAATGAACTTGGCGCGGACGATTAGCACCGCCCCGGGCGTGGATGCCTCCGGAGTGCCAGTTGTGGTGCCAGTAGCACTAGTGGCACCACCCGCGGCTCAGCCGGCCGCCCCCACCCCGTTGAGAACAGTGCCCTCCAACGCTGACCTGCTCGCCGGCACTGATCCAGTGACCAATTCGACCATCAAGTCCGAGGATGCCACCACAGGAAGTTGAACTGACAGTCAGAGTTTCACAATTGGGCGTACTACATGGGGAGTACGTCGCCTGTGCTGTATACTTTTGCAAACTACCCTTAAGTTGATTACTTAGCGTTAGTTAATTTATCTAAGCTGCTAAACTTAATACCTTAACAAGCACAAAAAAAAGAAAAGCAGAAATAGAAACAGATTAAGAATGCTCATAACGTTAAAACGATCTTGAGTGAAAGTGGACCCATTTAGCGCAGTTAATAGAATATAACTATTATTTATCAATAAGTCAACAGTGATTTGAATCTATACAATAATATAAGTTTTTCTAAATGGCCAATCAATTGTGTTTTATTGATCATTAGATTCGAACTGAGTGCTCAAGGGGTCTGCCCTGACTACCTTGATATCACTGATGCAAGCAGCTGATATTAAATCATTCTTCGCTCTGTAAATCATTTTCAAATACAGTGGACCCTCGTTAAACCAACGACTCGGATAACGACTAACAAAATTTATTAAAGATATTCTGTCTTTCTTCATGACCGACGTCATAAAGTTTTTGGATTTTTTGCCGAGGCAAGAAATTTACGTTAATGTAGGTCGCTCCCTAATCATTCTGATACTGTGTGTGATCAACTAAAATCTATCAATTTAAAATTTGCGATAAATTCTGGGAACCACAAGATATATGGAAAAGTTAAAATGAAAAAATGCAAATTTATTTGAGATATGCATTTCCCTAAGTATGCATAAAATGCACAAAACAATTGATTTGATTTATACGATATTTAAATTGTATTCATTTTCTAACTCTTACAATCCGCATACAAAAAAGTTAATAAATATAAGTGATCCACGTTCGAACTTAAGATGCAACTTATTATAACGTACGTACATATAAGAATTTCCAAATAGCATCGTCTCACATCACTTAATAAGATTACATACAACACTTGATATAAATTATATATCTAATGATATTTAATATAGTTTTAGATGCTAAGTCAATACAACTAATAGAAATTAACATAAACGCCAAAAGCGTTCAAGGAAAAATCATCAAGTTTGTTGGGATAGTGCGTTGACAGGATTATCAGTTGGCTCATTAAATGTGTGTGCTAGCAGAGCAAGCTAATAGCGTGTCACCTGGCCGCCATAGCGGTCCTGTGCCGGGCGACTACCGCCATACATTCCGCCAGCTCCGCTGTTGCCTTGGTAGCCACTGGAGCGTTCGTTGTAGCTGCGATCAAAACGGCTCTGTGTCTGCATTGGACGCCAGTTGTCATCGATGGTGGCCGACTTTTGCCACGAATTATTGCCATGCATGTTTGATGACATTCCATTGTTGCTGTAAGATTTCAATGGGCCTCCGCCACCTCCCAAGTGAGCGCTGCCACTGCCGCCACTGGATGGTGCCCATATGTTAACGTTGTTCGAGTTGCTGCCATAGCCACTGGTTGTTCCACCGCTGGTCGAGTTATCATAACGCTTGTTGCTACTGAAAATGACGAGAATCCCGTTCAGAGTGTCTTCAATTTACGAAAGTTCATTTACTCTTTTACTCACTGTGACATGTCGTCGACACCGCCACGTCTGTAGTTAGAGGTGTTGCTACGGTCGGCATCATTGTAGCGACCACTCCCACCACCAGTTCCTCCACTTGTGTTGTTCTTGTGACCATATGAGGCGGTAACGTTGCTAGTGTTGTTCTTGTGCACATATGAGCCGGCACCGCCGCCCGTGGTGCTCTTGTGAACATATGAGCTGCTCGAACCACCAGTGCTAACACCGCCTGATGAGACTGGCAAGTGGCGAACCTCTACGTCGCGCTTGTAATCATCACGCTTGCTGGTGGTGGACGACGAGTAATCATGCTTGGAGCTTGTGCCATAATCATTGCCAGAGCGCTTGCTCGGCACCGCAGCGTAGTCATCGATGGCACCACGCTTGGTACCAGTGGAGCTGCCGTAATCGCTGCGTTTGTTTGAGGAATATTCAAGTCGCTTGGAGCTCGAATAGTCATCAAGTCCACGCTTGGAGGCCGACGAGGTGCCATAATCATCATGTTTCTTGTCATAAGTACTAGTGCTGCCAAAAACAAATTCAGATTAATGTCATCCTACAATGCGAGTCTTTGAAACGTACTTGCGTGAGCTAACCAAAGACGTGTCAAAACGTGGCGGTGGTGGAGCATCAAAGACCGCGGAGCGCTTGCGGTCGGGTACATCGGTGTAGCGATCATCAGAGCGCTTGCTTAGCGAACGCTTAACGGGATCATCGCGTGATTCCATAATCCTGGAGTGGCAAGTGGGGAAAGATGAAAAGAGTAAAGTATAATATATTAGACATATTTCAAAGGAATGCAAGTCAGATTGTCACATATATGTAAATAGAGTTTAGACTAGGATGCAGTTCGTTGGCAGTTGCATAAACATACATGAATGCAAAAGCATTTGCCTAGACTGCCCGGCAGTTTTGTTGAGGTTGAAGAAACAACGTGGCTGCTGCAACTTAACACACTTAGCTTAATTTACAAGGCCAAATGCCTTTTGAGAATATGTAAAAATAAATATGGTGTTTGTTGTTTTTTTTTTTTTTTTTTTTTTTTTTT